AATGAAATAAAAATGAATATAGGGGTTATATAATTACACGTGGGAGATGGAGGAGGAAATGAAAGCTTTCTAGAGTTCTTTTCTTCTTCCTCTTCTTCCTTCTTACTTGAAGCCAAAAAAAGGTGAGTTTCTTTATTAGTCAATTTCTTGTTCAAATTTTGAGTTGGTTATGATTATTAGATAATACTTAAGCTTAAAGGAAGCTTAAGTTAACTTTAAATCAAAGGATTAAGGAGTTAAGAGAGATTAAAGATTAAGAGTTTCTGAATAAAAACTTGGGATAGAGTTGATAAGGGGAATTTGAAACTATATTTGACTTTTCAATGGTTGAATTAAGAGATATGAAGTGATAGAAGTGATATAATTTGTTTAAGTAAGTATCCTTGAGTTAAGGGTATTAAGGGAGCTAAGTTATGAAGGATTTAAGTTGAATTGGAGTGATATTCGAGATTAAAAAGGAAAATTTGGGCAAGGGGTATTGGTACCTCTTCAACAGGTACCAATACCTCAAGAGTAAAAATAACGAAGGTATTCAAAGTGTATTGATACCTGGGATGTAGTATCGATATCATAGGTACAGATACCATAAGGGCGGTATCGATACCCAGGAAATATCGAATGTAATTTCAATACCAATACCCGTCTTGGTATCGATACCATCAGGTATGGATACCTCTTCAAAGGGAACTTGAAAATAGCCTTTTCTATTAGGTTAATAAATGAAAGATTAGAGTATGTCATTTGGAATACTGATATGTATAAATGTATGATTATGTAGATATTGAGCACGAACAAGTTCTGGAACGACTGAAAGGTTATAATTGATCTAGAAGAGAAATTAAGCCATAGGAATAATTAATAGCAAGTGAGGCCAAGGTGAGTGCATACTATAGATGTATTTCAAAGGAATTATGACTTGTGATAAGTCTATTCCTATGTTAGTATTTATAGCATAGTAATTATGAACATGCATACTTTATGATTATTATAAAAATATGCATAAGTTATATATGTTTATAGTATTTGATAAATGGTATATGATTCATATGAATAGAGGAAAATACACATGTTATATGATACAAGATTGATAATTATATGTACATGTGTTATGTGATAAAAGAAAAGACATGTGATTACAGGAGAAATGATAAGAATACATGAACATATGAAGAATAATAATAATGCCTATGTTATGTGATATGAGAGTTAGGGGCATAGTTGGCATGCCAAGAGTTGAGGGTTACATAGGTCCTTTGGGACATATACAGAGGTCCTTCAGGATATATACATAGGTCATTCGGGATAAATTTAACATGCCCCTAGTGGGACCCCATACGAGCTGTGGTGATAGCATAAGTGCACAACCTCAATGTACTCGCATACCTTAAGTTCTCAGTAATGTACATGGGCCTATAAAAAATATCAAAGGTATTTATATGAGTATATGTTACCATACTATTATTGTTGATATTGTATCACATGTGTGACATGACTAAATTATGATATGATTGTAATTGAGTAATTAGTTGGAATGTTCATATTTATAGGAAATGCATTATTATATATTTTTATGCCTCACTAAGTCTATGACTTAGCGTGTAAGTGTTTTTACACGTAGGTTAAGAGGAGCAAGAGGATCAAGATTAGGATTTGTAGAGCAGCATAGTTTCACTCGAAGATCAGATTAGAAATACTTAATAAAGTATGAATTTGTGTAATAGAAATATTGTTATGTACACAAAGTTGTTAAGTATATAAGCTCTGATCAGTTTTTGTAAAGTGTAGAAGGTTTTATGTAAATTATTAACTTATTTTAACGAAAGTTTGAAATTTTCATGATTTGTATGATTTAAAGGTTTTGAAGAGTTAATGTGACACCTCGGATTCGTATCCAGGTCAGGTAAGGGTTAGGGTGTTACAGTGAACATCACCAATTCAAATATTATGTTTTAGAAAAAAATCCACCTCGGGCTATGTTATCTCAATGAGAATCATACCCGATCTCAATTTCCCTTAGCAGACAACTGCTAAGTGTGTTTCCAGGAAGTCGAACTTGCTACCAACCAACTCTTTCTCCCAATTTTAAATCGAAACAATGATCAAATCAATGAGCTCTTTTTAATTTTGAAAGCGCAAAGATTTTTAAAGGAAAGGCCAATTGCCAATCCAAGTTTGAAGAAAATTAAGAATATAACCCGAAGGTATTAGGTGATTTTCAATTCTCACAATCAAAATTGAGTCATCGCTTCAACCTTTGGCTTATGTGAAAACTAGCTAAGTATGATTTCTATCATACTTAGCTTTTTTGAAATAAAATAAAGTAAAATGTAAAAGAAAAAAAAAGAATTTTTTTTAAAAAGAAAGAAAACAAGCTAATTCGAGATGTGTTTGGACACCATATCAGACGTAGTTATGCCCTAAGTCATGCCCACTACTCTAGACTTGACTCCATAAAAATAAAAACTAAAGAATTTCACATATTTAGCACTATTTCTAGAATTCAATGTTATGCACCGAAAATGAATAAAAATGCCCAACTTAGTAGCAATAAATATATAACATTGAGTAATTAACAATAAAATAGTGACAAAATTAAACACTTATCAAATTCCCCCTCACTTATCCAATGCTTGTCCTCAAGCATTTCTCAATCAACAAATCAAAGTCACAAGTTGCCATCCATCATCCCACAATGTTTCCAAGATATCCAAATGAATTAAGATCATAGCAAATGTCGAAAATAAGAAACAATTAAGCAAAAGGCATAAATAGAAACAAGTTGCAAACTCAATACCTCACAAGGGTTCACTCATGTCGTTTTAAATGTTTCAAGTAAAAGAATCACTCAATCAAGAACTAGTAAAAACATTACCGTAAGCTTGTAACTAAATCTAATCTCCACTAATAGAAATGAACTTGAGGCAAAAATCAAGGGGTCTTTAAAAAAGGTTATAACGGGGCTTATGTTAGGGAAGGATAAAGGCCAAAATGGGGTTTAGAATTCAATCCAAAGCATAAGTTTATTTCACGAATTTATTCAAAGGAAGAAAAAAATGATAACAATATCAAATAACCAACTCTTTCTTCATCCTTTTATTTCTTTTCTTTTTCTTTTTTTTTTGTTCAAACCAGAATTGTTTTGTTTTTTTTTTCTTGTTGTACTATTCAAACAGTTTTTTTTTGCCTAAATCTTTTTTAAACCAATTTACCTTTCTCCTGAAAAGTTTGACAAAAGAGGGTAAAACAAAAATTACTTGGGTTAATATTGGGAAAACAAAGAAAGGGTATAAAAGTTCAAAATGGGTTATCTAAGGGAAAATCAATAAAGGGCAGGCATTTTTTTGGAAAGAGAAATGACTAAATCCTAAGTGTCCTTATCACACTAAAACATCATATTCAAGCATGTAGTCTCAACAAGTATTACACTACAAGTTCTATAATGTTACGAACTAGCTCAGAACACTCAATGATTCAATGAGCAAGAAAGAAAAAAATATGCTCATTAAGCTCAAAACTCACATAAAAATGTGATATATGTACTAAGTCAAGCAACATGTCAACTAACAAATGTATGAAATGTCAAGGGAAAAATTAAAGAAACTTACTACTCATGCCAAATTACTATCATGTATAAAAAATTCCAACAAAAACGAGATCACAAAACATAAGTCATCAAGGAAATATAACAAGACAAAGGATGAGCAATAAGAAATTCTAACATATTAATCAAGAAAACTCAATTTCAAATAATCGTATAAGCGAAGTAAAAATTTGATGATACAATTTCTATCCCCTCACTTAAATAATATTTTCTCAATATGTAAACAAAAGTACAAAAGAGGGAATAGAAATACTCCCCGATCTGGTGACAACCGTGACCATGGCAGCATCGAGATGTGCCCAGGTGAATGTAAGACAAGATCTCGCAAGGTTGGTCTCGATGGAATAGAGTCGACCATGCACTTCATGAATTTGGGTGTGCACATCACTTCTGGTGCCGATTGTGGCGCAGTCCCCCGAAGAAATACACGCTCATTACAAGGCGTAGTGGTGCATAGAAGAAATATGTATGGTGCATCGGGAGCACTGGCAAGGAGTCCCATCATATCCATGTTGTGCACATCTAAAGCATCCATTGGGAAAGCACAAGTAAAATGTTCAGTATCGAAAGTCAATAGAAAGAGATAAGATGCAAGATGAGTAATATATGGATTGAGAATAAGTATATGGTTGAAGCGTACAACATGCTCGAAAGGATGAGCGAACCAAAAGTCCAAGTTTTCCTTTGTACCAGTTTTTATACACCACAATAAAAAGAATTCAACCTTACTTAAATAGGGTGTAATATCATTACTTCTGGAGTAGTTGTATGCAACGATCTAGTGAATATAACAAAGCGTCGGGTCATGAATATACCACCCTTTGGTTGTTTTGGCATTGTAGATCTGCCCCGCCAAGCCGGTGAAACCTTCGTAAGCAACATCAACATCGAACTCCTAAGAGATCTCAAGCAAAACAGTTAGATAACCATGATATGTGACATTCGTCATGTATAGGGGTGTAAATGAACAGAGCGTTCGGTGAACTGTTCATGAATCGTTCAGTTAACATTCATTTATGTTCATTTATTAAGCTAAATAAACGAGTATGAACAAAATTTTTATATTCGTTTAATAAACAAAAGAACACAAACAGAGGTGTGTTAGGTTTGTTTATGTCCACGAACAAGCTCATTTATTAACTCGTTTGTTTATGTTCATGAACAAGCTCGTTTATAAGCTTGTTTATTAACTCGTTCATTTATGTATATGAACAGGCTCGTTTAATTTTCTTACATTTTAAATATTAGTGAAGGTAATACTAAATTGAATATATGATAAAATTTAGAATTTAAACTATGAACCTAAAACGTTTAAGAACCAATTGTGTAGTTTTACCATTTAATCCTAATTATAACACGCTCCTCTCTAAAATGTTTCTTTTCTGTTTTCTCTATTTTTTTCACGAAATTTATTAAACCCTAGATCCTTCTGTGAGGTCAGATCGTGTTTTACACCGTCGGTGTTTTGACTCGTTTCCCTCAACTCGATCATTGACGACTCTACGGATTTGAGCTGCTGCAATGATACAAGCCTTCAACAGAAACAGATTTAGGTATGTACAGTAAAAATTGAAAAGTCGAAGCTCATTTGTTTTTAGATTTTTTATCCATTCATATTTGGAGCAGTCGTTTTGGCCTTAATGCCTTGACCAGAAACTGATATTGGGGCAAGTAAATAGTCAAAGGGTTGAACAAATTCCTTTTGGAGCTCATTTGTTTTTAGATTTCTGATCCATTCATATTTGAAATAACAATTTAAGCTTTCAATTGGGAGAGTTTATTAGTTTTGAATTAGTTCAGTTCGAGTCTGGTTAGTTCTTGACTTCTTGTTTTAAAAAAATTCAGCTTCTAATCCTGTTGAATTTGATTTATTTAAGGTTCTGACCGTGTTAAAATAATAATCCAACTACTTCACGTATTTTTTTAGTTTGCATAGTAATGTAAAATTTCTTATTGAATGATTAGTGTCTAATTGTTTCACGTATTTTTTTAGTTCGAATTATTAGTGACTAAAATTTATATTTGGTTTTTAGATTTTTTTAGTTTTGGATTACTGCACATATTTTTTAGGTTCTGATTAGTGTCTAACGCCAGTGATGTAAAATTTATTATTGAATGATTAAGTACAGATTGTAAAATGTAATCTAAAATTTCTTTGCTTAGTGATGCTTGCAAATGATTAAGTATAGATTGATTCGATTATTTGATTTACATAACATCAATTATCTTATTGAATGACAGTGAGAAGTCAAGATCGGTTCAATTGGGATTCAAATTAATTTCATCTTTAACTCAAGAATTTGTTGCATCTCTTGATATTTTTCATTGTTCAACTTCATCAAACGTCATCAAAGGTATGTAAAAAAGTTCCTTTTTTTTTCTATATTAGTAATATATATCCTCCTATAAGATTTCTTTACTTTGAAGTTATAATTTTTGAAGGTATTTAACTTTTTTCTCTGGTTTATAACTTTTTTAACAGTGAAAGAAAGATTACTTGGGTTGAAATTCTTTAGTAATTATTATTATACTAACTCATGCTATGATTGTTTGTAATTGTTTCATAATTGTTTATAATTGTTTATAACTCTCTTATTTGCTCTAACTTTAAATGTTTATGTTACTGCTAATTTCGTTTTACTATTCTTTATGTTACTACTAATTGTTTATGCTCTAACTTCAAATGTTTTTGTTTATAATTGTAAATGTAGCTGCTAATTTTGTTTTACCATTCTTGGTGTTTGTTTTTATTTCTTAGGTTCTGCAGGTGAATTGATTAACGTTTTAGGAGGGATATTTTGGTTGTGCCTGCCATTTTATTTTGTTGTTTTAATTGTGTTGTTCAATATGTGACGGATGACGTTTTGCTAAGTTGCTACTCGTATGATTTGGTTGTTCTATTTTATTTTCAAGTATGCTTTAAGATGGAAATGTTCATGGATGTTTCTAAATATTGCTAGTATGATTAAGATTGTATTTTGTTATTGTGGATTGTTGTATAAGTTTTATTAGGTGAATCTGTTTAATTTATTCTTTTCTATTTATTCAGTAGCATTTTTTAACATATATAAACGAATATGTTCGTGAACGCCAAAAGAATTTGTTCGTGAATGTAACGAACATGTTCGCGAACGTAACAGACATTAAACGAATGTTAAATGAACACTAAGTGAACACGTTCACTAATATTTAAACAAATATATTCATGAACAATAAACGAACACTAAACGAATGTTAAATGAACGCTAAGTGAACACGTTCACGAGTATTTAAACGAACATGTTCATGAACAATAAATGAACACGCTCACAAATGTTAAATAAACGAACACGAATATCTTCAAAAATAAATAAACAAACATGGACATGATATGAAAAAAATTAAATGAACATGAACTAAACATAAACATCTTTAAAAATAAACAAACGAATACGAATATAGTCTTTTTTTTTTTTGAAAGATTAGTACTTTGTATTAAACTTCACAAAGTACACCATCCCAAGGACCTCATTAAAAAATCTCTCTAAGCCTAGATAGAGAAAAAAGAGAGGTGGAAAGAAGGTCAAAATCACCAAATACAATCACCCAAAATACCTAAAATTACATCAGAGTAACAACCCAGAACAAGCTGACAAAAATGTAGCTAAAACTACCCCTGAAGGAAATACAAGGAACATCACACATCTAAAATAGAAACAAGACCCTGCAGCAACCCCATAACCCAATACCAATGAGCGAAGACTATGGATGGAAGCTTGACAAAGCTCCACAGTTGATTGAACACGAGAAGGAAAAAAAGACTGGATACTGCTCCACTAAGCTTATTCCCAGAGCTTGGTTATTTGATGAAGTCACCAACTGAAAAAGCAACCAACAGAACGAGCACCATAGCAACCAAACTAGAAATCCACATGAATTCAACTAACTTTATGCACCAATTTAAGACAATGCAGAAATCACAAAACGAGCACCATAACAGCCAACGTGAATTCAGCTAACTCTTTGCAACAATTAAAATCAGTGCTGAAATTTGCAACAGAACTAGAATAGCCTGTGAAGAGCTACATGACCGAGCAGCAAACAAAGAGATTCCAAAATCAGAATCAGTAGCTATCGTGAACCCCCCTAGACTGAAGCTGACATCACTGAAAACGCAGCACCAGGAAACGCTAATATCTCACACCATGAACGATAGCTCCCGGATTACGAATAAAATCAGACACCACTGGAATCAACATCGGCCACAAGTAATGCGCCCATAACCCTATCTGAAGCAAAGCTTTTAAGAAAATCTGGTCTGACGAAAAACAACACCGTTAAATCTTGAATTATTTCTGCAAATCCAGATTACCCAGATCAATCCGAAAAAACCAATACACCAAAGCGGCCTCACTCTCTTCCTAACTCTGCGCGAAAACCAAGCATCTAACAATTGAAAAACATTCTTAGGAAACACTAAATTGACATTCCACACCAAGCACCAGCTTTGCCAAACTTTCCAAACAACAAAACAATGACAAAGAGTATGATTAACTGCTTCCGGCTCCATATTGCAGAATAAACAACAAATATCATTGCAATTAACACCTCTTTTTACCAACTCGACCATGACCGGCAGTCTAAGATGGGATGCTTTCCACACAAAAGCGGAAACTTTAGGAGGGACTAAATTAAACCAAACGTGATTCCACACGGGGTCCTCCGAATAACCTTCACAAGCCACTTTAGAACAGAAGACTTTTGGAATATATTTGCCATCCCGCGATCCCAACCTGATTACCCTATCAAGACCTTCTTCGACACTAACTGCTCTACTTAAAACCTGTCTGAGTTCTCTCCAAATAGGCTTTTCCCATTCAAAGAAAGCTCTTCTTATAATAATCCTACATTTCCATCTACCATGGACCCAACAACCGAATTCCTTGATCTTTCCACATTTTTTAATTGCGAGACTGAAAATTCTCGGAAAAGAGTTTTTTAAAGAGGCTTTTTCTGTCCAAAAGTCAGTCCAGAATTCTATGGAATTCCCATTACCCATAACACATCTGAAATCAGCAAGAAAATCAGACTCCAAGGAGCCAGAGGGATTCACAATACTGCGCCACACCTTACACCCTAGTCATGAATACCATAGAAAATTGAAATCGGATATAGACATCTCAAAGTGTTGTCCCATTAAACGGAACGAAATAACATCATGTGAGTTGATACTAGAAACACGATTTTGCAAGAATGTAAACGGGACATAAAATTCAAACACTAACTTATAAAAGGTACAAAATTTAATTTCAGAATAAAGTGTCCAACCAATAGCATCAAAATAACACATAATTGAATCTCACAGATGTAAAATATTCAAAGTGCGGATAGGAATATATTAGAAAACCTGAAACTTTCGATGGTGAATACTATTGAAGCGCATGGCTTCATCATAATCGAATTGCATGTAACCTTGCAATGCTTCCTCAATTGGAACAACGTAAGTACGACCTCAGTGATAGCATTCGACATTCTCCAATTGGTCGGGGGCACCATCTCCTTGCATGGAGGTTTTGGCCAAGCTTGCTGCAAATGAAGGAGAAGATGGTCATTGCCCGGAGTGTCGGCGTGAAGGAGAGGCGTGATCAGCAGGTGGCGGTGGAGGCATATCGGTCAAATTTTAAAAAACAATGATCAAAATCATATGTGAAACCATAAACAGGATGGTACATCGGTGAAGGTTCAATATGACAGGTTCAGAATTTACCTCGTCGGGTTGCTCGGGCACTGTCGAGTGCATCGAATATGACTAAACGATGTCTAGCATGGATTGAGAGTATGAATCCAACGGCATGGAGTAGAAAATGGAGATGCCATCAACGATGGGCAGTTCTATCTTGGTTCCGAAGGACCGACAGAATCGTGCGGATGAGCAACATGAACAACCGAGGAGGACATAGCACATGAGGGGCCGAGAGTGACTTTGGATCTTAAAGCTGTGGAACATTGGGCTACTGTCTATGGACGTCGCAACATGTAAGAGGTGACGGAGGCTGTGACAATGAATCAGAGTCGCTGTGGAGTTGAACGAACAACGGCGTTGTAAATCGATGGCGACCACAGAGAGTGACAGGCGGTTGGGATTGAGCGTTTCCTTGGTTTCATGTTCTCACCATGGTGCAGCGAGGAAGATGAAAGAGACAAAGTGGCGAGAGACGGCGAACTGTGGGGGTCGGCAAAGGCAAATTGCGGCGATGCACGATTCTGTTACGGGATATAGCGGTCGACGATCGTGCAAAGAAAATAAAGAAGAGGAATGGAATGAGTCGAACGGCCAAAAGAAAACAAAGAAAATGGGGTAAGGGCTTTTTAAAAAAAAAAATCCCACGTGATGTATTTAAGATGAAAGAAAATAGAATTTGACCCAAAAACAAAGTCTCGACCAATAGGGTGCTTGGATATATTTCAAATTTTGAAACAAAATGGGATAAGGGTGCGTATGGGGTCCACGAAAAAGAAAGAAGAAAGGGATTGGGAGAGGTTGCTTCTGGTAAATTGAGGGGAAGTGAAAGATTATAAGGGAAGAAATTTTCATCATTTCCGAATGAAAATTGCCTTCGACTCAGCTTAAATTGGATAAAAATTATCTAGGTAGCTACAAAATTAAAAACTAAAATAAGTAAAAACACTGAATGGAAACAAAGAATAAAAATAAAAAATAAACAAAGAAATCAAATTAAAAATGGATTGCCTCCCATTAAGCGTTATTTTTAACGTCGTTAGCTCGACGACCTGTTTTTATATTATGAGTTCTTCCAATTTTATTTTTTCAATTAGGGAAGTAGAATAATTCTCATAACATGGTTTCAACCGTTGACCGTTCACTTTAAATCGAACTCCCGAATTGTCTTCAACTTCGATTGCACCATGAGGGAATACTTAAGTTACTGTGAAAGGTCCGAGCCATTTTGATTTAAGCTTTCCTGTCAAAAGTTCAAATTTAGTGTTAAATAGAAAAACCTTTTAACTGACAAAAAAAATATTTTCAAAAAAATTCTACTATCATGAATTTTTTTTAATATTCAAGCACCATCATAAGCGTTTCGATGGATGTTCTCAAGTTTTTGAATATGTAATTTGCGTGCTTCGTCGACTGCATCTATCTCCATGTAACATTGCTCGATCGCCCAATATGCTCAATGCTCCAATTCAACGAGTAAATGGCATGTATTACTGAAGACAAGGCAGTACGGAGATATTCCAATGGGGTCTTTATAAGCAGTTTGGTATGCCCATAATGCATCGACTAATTTGAGACTTTAATCTTTACGGTCCGATTTGACGATCTTCTCAAGAATCATCTTAATTTCACGATTCGATACTTCTTCTTTGTTTACAGATGGTACGCAGTGGCAATTCTTTAAGTCACTCTAAACTTTTTCATAAGCTCTTCAATTATCCAATTGACAAATTGAGTTCTTCGATCTCTTATTATCACCCACGTCGTGCCGAACCTAGAAAAGATAAAAAAAATTAGAAAATTAACCGTAGTTTTTGCATCATTATTTCAGGTAGATTTAGCTTATACCCATTTAGAAACATAATCTACTACAAGAATGATATAAGTGTTTCTGAAAGAAGAAACAAATGGACCCATATAGTCGATTCCCCAAACATAAAAAATCTCGCAAATATGAATCGAGATAAGGGGCATTTTGTTTCTTCGACTAAAATTTCCTGCATGTTGACATCTTTCACATGATTTGAAAACAAATAAGAATCACGAAAAATGTTAGGTCAAAAGAAATCGCATTTAAGGATTTTATGGGTAGTCCACTTTTGTTTGAAATGACCACCACAAGAGTAAGAATTATAGAAATTCAAAATTCAATACACCTTATCTTCGATGACACATCACCGTATTACCTAATCCGATCAGTGCTTCCAAAGGTATAAATTATCCCAAATATAAAATCAGGATTCTTGCTTTATTCGATTAATTTCAACCCTTGGTAAATCTAATGGT